AAGGAAACCGGCCCCATACCACTATCGCTACATTGTCAGCGTAAGCCACCGCTTTGATTCTCTGGATGTGCACACATAAATATTATATAAACATTTTTTATTATTTATTTGTTAACTAAGCTTGGTTTAGTTTATGAATACATAGACGAATTACATTTAAAAATAACATAAACAGCAAGACCAGAAATGTATCAAAATACATTCTATTTTTGTGTTTTTTTTTTTTTTGTAAATAAGGAAATATCTTTGTGGGTGGGGAATTTTAGGAAATTTCGGGCAAAATCGGTAAATTCCTTAAAATGAGTTGGCTACCCTGGTTTCAATGCTTCAGAATCTTCTTGCTTTGCTTTCGCACGCCCGTAGAGCCGGCAGCATTTGGCGCGGCGTCGGTTCCACTAAATTGAATTTTTCTCCATATTCAGTGATGAAACGCCCACCACCGACTAAAGCAACCGCATTGAAGCGAGAGCGACAGCTGCAGGCAATAAAAAGGCAGCGGTATGCTACTTACCAGCAATGTCTTCATTTTCATCGGCGTCGCCATCTTCATCTTCGTTAAAGTCATTCGAGACGCAACGCAACGCAATCTATGGCAATTGCAAGTCTAGCTGTGGATAGAGACGAGCTGCTAAGGCATTGAGTGGAAAATTTCTACGTCGCGAATAACAACTTTATTTATAAGCCACATTTCTTCAACGTTTGATGGTGTAGAGGCCGTGACGTTTTGTCTGTGTATAGATATTAGCCGTTTCCACTTAGGGCGGGTGCACATTTTGGATGCATTTCAGACAAATATTGTTCGTGGTATACTAGTACTAAACTGGGATATGAAGAAAACCTTTTTCAAAGCTATTAAAACAGGCATCGAAAGGCCCGCGCCAATATGGGGACGAAGTCAGATGCTTATACGTCTGTATAGTAGAATCTTTGACTCCTTCGATAGGGAAAGGACTTCTCGCTTTAGACCGGGTGACTCAATTACATGCGACATCTTCGAAATTGTGGGTTTTGACCTCAAGCGCAGACTTCCCAGCAAACGTTCTCCGGCTAAGAGGGGGAGATAAAAAAGTTGGTCCAGGGGTGCGCGACAGTAAGGAAAAGAAACTTCAGGCAACACGTATACCACCTTCGATATTGTGAATAAATTCGTCAGCATAACATAATCAAGAAAGTCCGCCTAACGTCTGTTGGCAACTGCAAAGCAGAGCCCTCTCTGGAAGAACCAAATTTACCCTTCAGAAATCCTTAATATGTCACTGCTTTTATAAAAGCCAGAAACGTGGACGATTTCAAAGAAGGCTGAGAAGGCTCTATAGACTTTTCGTATTATGCTAAGTCTAGGAACATTTTCTCGTGGGCGACGAATTCCGAATAAGATAGAATGACACCCTGTAGGAGCGTCAGATTGGGCGGGATCGGTGAAAAGATATTTTTACTCGACTGGGTGGACAATGAGGCAATATCGCCCACAAATGCCATGGAGTGGCTAAGCTCAAAAAGACCTGCACTCGGTTACGATACTGGCAAAGAACGAGGTTATATTCGGAACTTTAAAAATAAAACATTGGCACTTACGCAATATATTGGTGTTTGGACGAGCTTCTCCTCCGATTTTTGTCGTGTGTCACATAAAGTGCTGTCTAAGACCTTTATAATAAATCCAGTAGTCTTATAATATCTATGTATGTATATCTCCGCATACTTTCCATAAGTTCCAATTTAGCAAAACATGGCGGAACAATTTCCTAATCCACTTGCACCGAACACGTTCTTCTCAGCTGATGATAAAGCATTCCGTGCACTGCAAAGTTTTCCTTCCCCTTTGAGTTGTCGTCCGCATTTGACATGATTAAACGTCGATTAAGCGAATGGAAATAAAGGCACGGGACAGCATAAGTAGATGCATAGACGAACTTACACTAAATAAGAAAGCAGACGACAGCGGAATGTCGCGCTCTCACCCACAGCCAAAACTAGTTATGTTCACGTTGTGGTAGTCTCGTAATGGTTGCACATCATGTAAGCAGCTATTTTCAACTTTTCATAGCAAATATGGTATACGTTGTGTGGCGTGTAGCAATGTGGCATGCACGAATCACGTTGCATGTGGCACGCTGCATGCCCTTAGTCGTTCTTAAGTCGCCTGTCATCAATAACAAATGTTGCTACATTGATATTAGCCGTAATCGCTGTACCAACCATTGAAGCGTTGGAGTGTGGCAGCTGTTGCTGCCAGACGACAGTAAACAGAAAACAGCAATGGCAATGGCCTTGTCGAGTGGGTGGTGGCGTATTTTTACCTACAGACAATTGCTTCCTTTTCTGTCGCACAGTGGTCGGAGAAACTATGTTTTAAGCGAAAAAGGCATATTTTAAAAGTGTGATGAATTAACCCGAATAAGGCTACTCTTATTCAAAAATGTCCAGCGAACTCAAAACTGGTTCTTATTTTCAATAATATCTTCTGAGGAAGCCGTTGAATTAGATCAACGAATTCTATCGTGGAAACAGTTATTTATTGAAAGCTTTTCTAACAATTTTCTTATGGATACCATTAATTATAACAATAATTGCTGGTTTGGTGTTATTTCTTAAACACGGAAAATTATGGTTTCATATGGTTTACACATTAAAACTTGATTGCTAAATTATCAACACCTAAATAACCTGGCTTATTTTTCAAGAAATATTTCCTTCAGAAAGTTATAACTTATGAGCAGGGCCGAGTAGGCTCTTCGTTCCTTTACCAAAATGTAATGCAAGGAGTCCTTTAAGGATCTACGAAAATAAATTCCGCACATACTAGCGCCAAAAAGAGTGGCGGCCAAATCATTTGTTCGCCCAAACCCTCTATATAAACCAGGATCTCGTATTCGCTTGGTGTCTTCTTATGTTGATTTAGCTTCTGAGAGGTCTACTATATAATTTATGTAAGTCCACCGACGTTAGAAAATATGTGTTGGCCTATTTCACATTAAATGCAATTACATTTGAACCTTTCGAGCATTTATTCAACATTAAGATTAAATCAAAAGAGATTAGTTTAGCGGAGAACGAGGTAGGCAGTGTTGAAAGCCATTACTTCGAAGCTATAAGGGCGGATTCATCGTTCTAGGTCTGAACTAAAGTTGAAGTTGAGTTCGCAACTCAAAAGTGTTCAGAACTTTTCTCAGTTTCTCTCTGAACTAGAACGGTGAATCCGCCTTAAAGGACTTTGTTTAATCCAGCGATCGAAAAAGGCTTAACTCTTGTCCGCTGGTGCTTATTTAGGCTTAGCAGGGGGCTTCTAAACGAATAAAAATCAACCTCAACAAATCTCTGATCATTCTTGTCTGCTCATATGACAGACCAACGTAGACGATGTCTGATAAAGAAGAGATGAGTTCAAGTGCACTCGAGAGAAGCCCAAATGGATACGTCTTCACTTGGTAAGTATAAGGGCAAGGGGGGAAAATTCCTGGAAAATTTATTTGGCTTAGTATAAAATGTACCGAAAATGGACCATATGTACCGAATATACTTTCAAATTATAAAAGGGCTGAAAAAATTACAATTGTACCTACTTTTCCATCACTACTCGAGATCAGTGAGCCTTACAACATAGTAAGTTTAATTCTTGGGACTTTTCCTTATTTGTAGAAAAACTGACAGCCCCTTTGACATTTGTAAACATTTAAAGTTATAATTTGACGTAAATTCGTGACTGGCGTGCCTAAGACCATTATCAGTAGCATCTTAAAAAATATTTTCATATTTTTAGAAAAATTAGCAGTTTATTTGAAAGCTTTCAATTCTCAAAGTTTTAATTTCGTGATCAACATATCCACAAACCACCAATAATGGCATTTTTAAAAATATTGTCTTGTGCCGTAGTCGTTGAATTGCTGCTCGATGAGAAGTAACTAAAAATTATGAGTGCGAATTAAGAATTTGCGGTAAAGTATGTAGATGTAACTGAAGCTAGACATTGCGTCGCGAAATAGTCATTGCAGCATATATTCAACTCTCCAGTTGCGTAAATCAAGGAACTAATGAACTACAAGTCGTTGAACAATTAGGGCTACATATCAATGTACAAATGTTACATCATAAGGAATGTCAAAAATAGGTAGTTTAAATAAAATTCATGTTTTTATTATCTTTTGGAAATAATTTTCTAACCACACTTACACAAAGGCGTCACCTAGAGATAATTAAAACAAATATTATTTTTACATGTTGTAATTTCTTCTTCCTTCTTGATTGTACAACCCTTTGTTGGTCGAGCCGAGACCATTAAGCTTGGCTAGTTGCATCCCTCTTTTCCGAACTTACGCTTGCTCCTTCTATTGTCGAAGGCTCATTTCACCGGAGCATCGGAATCCATGTTTACTTTGATTTTATGCGCTTAACTATGTTCATATCATTACAAAGCTCTATAGAGTTTGTCATCCCTTCTTCTTCCGAGATAAGGGCCAAAGATCTTGCATAACTAGTTATCTCGAAATCCCCAACTACCTACCGAGCACCTACCGAGAGTTATTCTTGGCTTAATCTTCAGGGTGACATTATTGGTGGTGTTTATTCTGGTTCATAGGAAGATGAAGTTCCTCACTGCTCCAAAGTTATAATTACCAACAGCGACGTGTATCTCAATACGCGAAGACCCTTTATAAATATATTGCAAGGGGTTCTTTGTCGTATCCTCGTTCAACGCAAAACCGGCGTCTTTTGCTTTTTGTTCGAAGCTGAAAAATGCTGCGCTAATGGCCCATTTTGTTGAGGCCAACGATGTCAATGACATTTGCATACACACATTTGTACATACCATGCACGGTGCCGCTGTGAAGAAGACACACAAATGTGATTCGTCTTGCCTAACTTGGACATTTCATCGCATAAGATTTTAAATCAAAACGTGTTTACTCCACGTTGTTTCGAGCATATACTATACATTCTAGAAAAAACACCTTCATCACAATTCTAACTTAAAAAAATCTTTGAATTTCACTATTTTATAGTTTATCGCCTGCGATAGCTCGCGGAGATTTCTCACAGCAGATGAACAATCGCTAATAGAGAAAGCAAATAAGCTTCGTTAGGTTTCGAACGGAGCTGAGAAGTCCTTCTGAATTTAGAAAGCTGAAAGTTGTGCTCAACGAAACTCTACTCAGCCGAATTAAATTTGAAGCATCCCAAATTAAGACATGGCGTCTGTCGAATTGAATATCTAGTGTATTCTATATGATTTGACTCTGCTTGAAAATCTAGTCGCTGTTGGATTTTTTATGTGTGAACCCACACGGATAAGTTTCAAGCAGCTGGTCGATGAAGGTCTTCAGTCTTTCAAGGACAAGTCGATTAGACCTAGTACTCGATAATTGGCGCAAATGGCGGGATATACCCACTTATAGATTGGACAGAGATACAAATCTTCAGGCATGTATTCATCAGGCCTTGGTACTGGTACATGCTTCTTCACAGCTTTTCGCCACCGGGCACCGAGCACGAACTAAGGAAGAAAACTGCATTTACAGATTAGGAAAATATTAACGACAAAAAAAGTTATACGGTTTTTTGTCCCTCCTCAAAAAATAAAAAAAATGGACTTAGCACGTTTGCGAACTAAGCCAACCATATAAAACTTTTCATATCCAGGTCCAGTCATCGTTTGGTGGTGTGCCTCTTACGATGTGGCCACAGACATGACTGTCTGAAAAAAGGTGTTAAAATATCGGCGAAAGTTTATCAAGGAACCATTTTGGAAGCTGTTGTAAAGCCGCTTAACCAATTTCTGTTCCTAAACGATTAAAGCCTGGTGCCAAAAGAATTTGGCTGCATTCATTTCCTCTGAAGAATGGCCCTCTGTCAGTCCTGATTTGAACCCGCTGGATTAGGAATAGGGGAAAATTTTAAAGGACATGATTTGTCACAAAAGATAACCGAACATTGGTTCTCTTAAGATATATTTCATTCGTGCTGTGGCCGATTCTCCAATGAACGAAGTGCGCGCGGTTATTGACGATAGGCAGGCCAAAGGTGGACATTTCGACCGAATATTTCCTTCTAGTATACCTATACATATGTATATCAGTAAATACTAAAAATACATTGAGTCCATAAACCTTCATTATTTTTAATTTTAAAGCATAAAATGTGTGTAAAATTATTTACACTCCTACCCAAAATTTGATACATTTCCAAAATGAGTTTGGCCACATTAAAAATTAACAAATTATATTCTCAACAAACTTCATTCCTTTTCAGCCTCTGGAAATAATGTTATGCAACTCGTAAGCACATGCAAGCATGCAAAATGACAAGCAAACCCATTGAATTGTCCATCATGAAAAGTCATGTGCGTGGGAAATTCTAGTGGACACTATTCTACAATGTTTACGCACATACGGTTAGGCATCGAAATTTGTCATCAAACAAGCTGCAACCAACCTTGAACTGTCGATGTGCTGATGTCTATAGCCAGAGGGCAATGGGGCATCGAAGTCAGCCAGCTGGAACAATTAATCATTGGTTGCACGCAAAATATGCTAATGCAATGCCAAAAAACTTTGCTGTCTGCAAGCATACACGGTTTGGTCTGTAAACATAACTACAATAACAGAACGCGCCAAGCCGTGGAATTCATCGAACAATTGTGTGTGTGTGTGTAACCAGCGCTTTGGGGCGGCTAAAAGTAGTCTACAGCTCAGTGACCACACCGTTCGGGTGCGCTCCCGTTGGCTAAACACAAGCCAGTGCACGCACACAATCTTCTACCATTGTACGAGTGTATGCACTCATAAATCACTGTTAAAACTTACCTTCCGTTCTTGTTCGTCCTTGGACAGCTGACCGCCGCCAACATTATTATTCTCTCCTTCTCCATCTAGTGGCGCTGGCGTTGTGGGTATATCACACTCCTCCGTTGGAGGGACGACGCAACGCAACGAATGACGATCGAATACCAACATGGCGGGACAGCGTTGTAAGCGTGGATAGCCACCCTGACATTGCCAATAACGGTTGCAAGATTTACCCAGTGGGACGTTACCGTTGGCATCCTCATTACAGAGAGCTGTGAAACAATAAAAACAACAACAAAAAGAGAAATGAACTCATTAAGCTTAGTGCAACAAGCTAATTACAATTAGAGAACTGTTAAATACAGTTGTTGTTAAATACGAATATATAGAGTGTTCTGGTCTAACAAATTTTGCATTCTTGTAAGTGTGGAAGTTAGTAGAAAGAGCGGGCAAAGTGACTATTTAAAACTATTACTGAAAAGTCGGGGAATTTCATAGAGATGTTAAACTAAAATTGAAGCAAGACATTCGTCCAATTTAATATTATACAAATAACACCGGTTCGAGGAGGAAATGCAACTGAACTAATCTGCATGGGGTAGCACGGTCGGTATATTTATTTAAGGATTCATTACAGCGCAAGTGCAACAGAAGGTACAGCTGCCAGTAGTTATCTGCCTTGGAACAAGTAGTTCCCTATTGAAATAAACGTGTCTGGTTGTGAGGTAAGGTGACCTTTAATACAGGAGCCCTTGAATAGCGTTGAAATCACCTGAGCAAGTTAGTACCCCTCAGAACTTTTTTTACTGCCTGTCCGCAGTCTATACTTACCTAACCTAAAATTTAATAATCGGAGGAGTCAAAGAGTGTGTTGGAGTTTTGTACCTTTTGGCAATAAGGTTTAAATACTCATTCGAAGAAATAGCATTACCTGTATCCAACGGAATGCAATAAGGTATAACGGGTCTTCTAAATATGCTTTTTGGAAACCCACCTGTGTAGAGCTTTGGGTTGCGGCAAGGAGAAAAGGAGGTTTCGGGGAGGCTACTCCAACTTATTTGAGCTAAGGCGTCACAGAGCAGCGTTCGATAACCAGAAGGAGCGGTTGCAAAGCAAATGTCTAGCATGCAGAAAAAAAGCAGCTTATATATAAAAATAGGTACCCGAAAATTGCCCAAGTTTCTGGCTGTTCGCTGGGATTGGGACTCGCCACATATAGCAAACTTCCAGTAAAAATAGCACTACAGTTATAAATGGGACACCCCTCGTTTAATTACGGCCACGGCATGAGGCTATATATGTATTGCTAGAATGAGGCTATATATGCACACTGCCGCCAAAAAGTATTGGCACAGCTACTTTTTTACAATATATGCAAACAATTTTTTGTAATATTTTTCCGCCAAATTTTTATAAAAATATGGTTCATTCAGCAAATTTTCAACTTTTTAATCAGATTTTTTAGAATTTTCCTGGGTACGCAGTTTTTAGCTCATTATATTCTAGTATAAAAAATGCAAGTTCGAAGTTAGTAAAGAATTGCTTTGATTTTTAAGAACTTTTTTTAAGGTGCTTGGCATTTTTTTCATATCAAGTATTTTCGAAATTTTTTTTGTATGGAAGAGACTGCGTGAAAAAAATTGCCAAAAATTAAAGGCAATTCGCAGCTAAGAACTTCTACTTTAGAATTGATTGGGCCACACATCTGCATATTCAAAAAATTCTTAAAAATCCGATTAAAAAGTTGAAAATTTGCATTATAATTTGCTGAATTTTCGCGAGTTTTGCACAAAGTTTAGAAATTATATTTTTATGTATTTTGTTGTAGAATGAACCATATTTACATAAAAGCCAAAGCGTCCAAGGTATCTTCTAAGATCGTTGCTAGGATATAAAGTAGGGGGAGTGACTAACGCCTCTGATTTTCAGCAAACATGCCAATTATTTAATTCTCAGTTTTCTCACATTTATCGTGACTCCTGAATGTTTTTCCTCTACTATTGTACCTCTAAGCCATGTTCTTACTATACAAAATGTAAAGTCGCATGGGAAAGCACTGAAAATGGAAATATACTTATTTATCGCAAGCAAACATTGGCGTTCTTCTGAGTATGCAGTTACAGTTGCACGACTTTACTAAATGGCGACTCTTGTTTCCCCGTTCGTGAACTCTGCCTAACATGATAAATCAATGAGTAATTAATGGACGAGACGCGGTAGCCAAGGATTCGTTGAGCCCACTGCAACTTTTTTGGTTTAGGGTCTCACTAAAGTCAAGTAGCAGCAACAGTTCAGCCGTAAATGTGGCTACAAACAAGCGTCTGTTTTTTTCAAGCAAGAGACACGCTATATAAAAGAGAATCTCTAAAATCTTTGGGACCCGTCAGATACAAAACAGATCCAAGGGAAAGACCATACATCCCCGGTCGCTTTCACGATGCAGACTCACCAAACAGGGACTACGCTTTACGAACATGCATCTTGTATATCCGGACCCTCCATAAGAAGGGTGTCCCTATCCATCTGCTGATTTGCTTACAAAAATACAAGGCTGACACTACTACAGTACAGAAAATGCGATGGACTGGACATGATTGCAAAAAAAATTCCTTGAGACAGCGCGAGGGCGGGGGCCTCGACACCTTGCCTTCAGGTTTACCCCAATCAGTGAACAAATTACCATATTCCGCATGAAAGCTACACATACTTCGTGTAATGGTCGGATATTTCAGAACTTCCGTCAAGGGACACCAGCATCTAAACGTGCAAAGAACGCTTGGGTGTCCCCGGATGGAACAACAGAAAACCAATTATTATTCATAACCTTGTGATTGGCTCGACGAAAGTTCAATGTCGACAATCCGCAATCACAAATGGCAGCCGAGAAATTTCGCAATCTACTCCCAATCCTGCCTAAACCAGACACTTTTCATAGACCGAACACAAATGAGCACTGCAGTTGGGTACTAGTACGTCCCACACAGGAACACCTGGTATGACGAAGAGTGCTGCGCAGCTGTTGTAGAGAAATATGCAGCCTCTTTGCAACCAATACCGAAAGACAGTTTACAGAGATTTCAAGGTCGTAAGAACAACCACGGCCCATTGAACGATGTCCGGTACATACTTAAATTATGAAAAGAACTTTTGTACGCTGTTTAATGGTAATATTAATGGATAAAATGAACTTGAGGTTCTAGTCGAGGACCGCGGACTCGATGTCCCATCGCTAAACAGCCGTAAAACAATTTAGGTGCTTAAGCTGGCGATTTTCCATCTGAGCTATTGAAGTACAAAGGCGACGAGTTGATTAGGTTCATGCATTAGCTCTTAAGCTGAATATGGTAGAACTGGCCAGGAAGTCAAGGTGCCTACTCTGTCTAGAGTAAGCTCACTCGATGTTTTTCTGGAATGCGACCTGTATTGGTTTGTGGTCTGTGAGCACGTAATACTTTTGCCCATCGAGCATGTCCGAAAATATATGATGCTCTTGTAAGCTGTCAAGAGTTCGCGGTCGTATGTGATGTAATGCTTTTGAGCCGGGTTTAGATATTCTGAGTAAAAGCTTAGTGAGTGACTGTTGTCTATTGCAGTGCCGGATGCCCCGACTACTACGGCCAGCGCAGGACCTGTTTCCGGTGCATAAATAGTTCGTCCTTACAGCACTGCAAAGCGTCTTTAGCCGCTTCATCTGCTGTGGCTTTAGGTATGAATCTATGAAAAAAAATGTATCATGCCCAGAAAGGGTCGTAAGTCGCACGCTCTTTCGGTTATATTGTATGCCTTAACGGCTCGAACTCGGTTTTCTGGAGGCGAAATACCATTTTTGAAAACATTACAACCTAAGAACATGACTTCAGGTTTGCCAATGACGCACTTTGATGAGTTAATGACGACACCACGCTTTCGTAATTTTACAAAAACATTTCGCGAATGATGCTCATGCCCTTAGACGTGATATGGATGTCGTCCAGATAAGGCCAAGCAAAGTTGAATTCGTGCAAAACCTTATCCATGAATCTTTGAAAAGTTCCTTGACCGTTCCTTAAACCAAAACACATGTAAACAAATTCGTACATACCAAACGGGGTGGTTATAGCTGTCTTCGGTATGTTTTCTGGTTCGACTTGGGTCTGGTTTTACGCGCGTCTTAGGTCGATCGTCGAGAAAATCGTGCATCCGTGATGAAAATGAGTAAAATCTAAGAAATGTGGCAACGGATATCTGGCCGGTTCCGTAACACCGTTCAGTCGACTGAGGACTTCACATGGTCTCCAGTCGCCGTTTTTCTTACATACCATGTGGATGGGACTTGCCCATAGAATTCTTGGTGGACGGCATATACCGGCCTCCAACAACGACTCGACTTCAGCTTTTGCCGCTTTCAGTAAATCAGGTGCCAAACGACGAGACTTTGCAAAAACTGGTTATCATCTGGTCACAATGCAGTGCGTGACTTGGTGTGATATGTCTTTCGGGAACGCGCTCGATACACCCATGATGTCTTTCAGCTTGTCTAAAATGTTGTGGAATAGCATTTCGGTTTTGATTGCGGATATGTTCATGATGTCGTCAGGAACATTGACGATCGCGCAACTTTTTGAAATATTCGTGACATCCTCGAACAGCATGCGGTGTCGAAGGTTGACTAACAAATGGAAATGAATCAGACGGTCTCACTGACTATAGGCTGTGGGCCCTCAGCGATAACAAAGGTCTATTTAAATGGTCGTCGTAGCAATTTTTTAATTCGTCTTTGTTCGCATTCGCCGAATCGGTCCACTTCCGAAAGCGCTTTTAGGGTATCGTACATGTCGGTTGGTGGCGGGTTTAAAATAATGTCGCTGTGTGTGGTACTTTGTCGCTTCGTTTTTGATGCGAGCTGCAATAAGACGGGATTCAACTTGTTCGATCCATAACCTTGGGTTTGCGTGCCAAAACGGTGGTAGTTGTACTGTTATGTTGGCGGTTTCTTCGCTGGCATCAGTTCCGTGGACGTTTTCCTCTGCTATAGTTGTGGGTGGCTGCGAGAAGTCCGACCTCGGGGTGTTTTCCTGTTCATTATCAGCCATATTGCTGAAGATGTTGCTATTTTGACGGGGTCACAAACTATATAGTCGATGTATATAGTAATATTTCTATAATAGTTTTTATTACGTCGAACGAGTAAATACAAATTGCAAAACAATCTCAATCACACAGCGAAAAGAAAACGAATGGAATGAATATTTCAGAATTCTTGCACGGGATTTCCAGACACAGTTTCTTAGAATGAATCGTCAAATTCCTTTTAGGAGTTGCCAAGAATAACTTATATGGAAAAGTTCGGGTTGCCATAATACTGATAATAACGCCTACTGACGCCTATTTTATAGTACATATACCTTACGATGTATGTATTTTATATAACCGATTTCAACATTAAACCGAAATATTGCTACAAAATGCTTTTTGGCCATTTAGACACACGTAAGTGCTTCTAAATCAATCTGAATTTTGCTAATTCGCAAAGGCAAAAGCAAGACGAAGGCTATTAGAACAAGGCACACAGCAATGTTGGCAAGCCTTAAGAAGATTTAATTGCCCCCATGTTCTTGTTGTAACCATGTTGTACTCCCAATAAATGTGGGTAGCTAGCTGCACTTGTAGCAAGCCTTTGCAACAGTATTACCAGCTGAAGTCATTGAAAATTTAACACGCTTTTGATCAGGCGTAAATGCGCATTGGAACGTCATAAAATCTTGTCTAACAAAGAGCTAGAAATATACGTACGTATGTATGTACGTATAAGGAAAATCGCTTGCATACCTAGATGTGGGTGTTTGGTGTTCTTTGCCTTTACCATAACCCCCCCCCCCCCCCCCCCCCCCCACACCCCACCATGGCAACACTGTATGCTGGTAATACTTACGATGCTTCTGACAACCGTCCACATTTTCCGGCCAATCGCAGCTGTGGGCATTCTCATTGTACAATAGACCGCCGATGCAAAGCTGCTCTGTAGCGGTGCCATTCCAGCAAGTCCAGTAGCGTGTGCACGATGTCTCATGACCAAAGATGCCATACAGCCAGTCGCAATGTTCTGTCGATATGGGAACATCTGAAAGTTAGAAAAGGAATTAGGATTTTGAAAAAAAAGCAACAACAAAAATGTGTGCACGAATTTGGAAGAGTGTGTGTGTGTGTGTGTGTGTCATGCATTGTGTTGAGTAGGCAATAAAGTGCAATCAAATAGGGTCGTTTATGAAACCGCCGCACAAACAGAACTATCTACAATCCAGCAGCATCAATACCCGGCCACCACATACCAGGAGTCTAGCGTACCAGTATGCCAGTATGCCAGCGTGCCAGCATATCACCGTATGAACTTGTTTCGGCTTTCGTTAATGAATTGGCTGTGGGTAAGCTGGTGGTGGAGCAGCTGCATTACATACAACCCACTTGAATTGGATGTCCTGTAGTGCAGTGCTTATTGCCTTCCCCTCCCACATAAATAGCACCTTGTCATATTGTGCTATAAGATTTAGCACTCTGTGTCCTGTTTAGGTGTTCTGCACTCATAAATTGGCTTTTGATGTTAAACTCGGTATTTGGTTATGTTTTCGTTGTTTACTGTTCGCCAATTTCTTTTTTTTCCGCTTGTGGCATTCTCTTTGATATGCTGTATGAAAAATAGAACCATAAGTGGTTCTTCGTGTTTGACCGGATTATACAAATCGTTCTGGAAGATTTGTGTGTAGATGCAGATCGCATAAAGAGCTTCTTAATTGTAAAAGCAAACTGAAAATTGAAAACGAGTAGCGAAACGAATGGTGAGCTGAAGGATTAGGCGTAGTCTTTTCGTAATGATTTATAGTTTTTTAAGATGGCAGTACTAGTTTTGTGTAGGGCAGAATCATTTTCTGATAGTTTAGGTTGTCTGTGTTTCCGACAGGGTAGGATTATGATGTATTGTGGCACGATTTTCCGTCATCCCTTGTCAAATTTGGTTTGGATACAAACCGGTTTCGGCATTGTGCCATTCATTCATACATCATAGTCTAATTACCCTAATTGTAAATAGTCCTCAAACTTTATTTTCTAATTAACTTTTTAATTTTTAAACCACATTCATATTCATATCAGTCCACTCTATGACGTTCTGAAAACACCGAAAGCGTGAAAAGAAGAACGGCATGCCAGTTACTGGCATGCACTTTTTACTAGCATGAGTTCGAGGCACTGAGGGTTTATATTACGCCCAGTGGCGGATTTGAGTATTCGCTACCTCTAGGAAATTCATAATTTGCCGCCCTTTTCCCGATAAGAAAAATATTTTGAGGTAAAAGTACCAGTTTTGGAACGATTATCAGTAAACAGTATTATTCAAATTTATGTTATTTACTATACTTTTATTACAATTTAAGATGAAAAAGTGGTATTTGCTTTGAGTAAAGGTTTTCGGCTTTTAAAGAAAGCCGTCATTAACCAACTTTTTTCACTTGATAAGTTATAATCTCAAAAACACTAAATTAGTAGTTTTAATTATTATCATTTAAATAAGTATTTAATTTAGTATTTTTAAATATTATCATTTTAATAATATTAGTGCAACTAACTACTAAACTAACTAACTAAAAAAAAATAATAATTTTTCTCAACTAAAATTTTGCCGCCCCTAAATTTAGACGCCCTAGGCACCTGCCTATGTTGCCTTTACAGTAAATCCGCCACTGATTACGCCAGTAACTGGAATGGCGCACTGGACTGGCATGCTACTGACATAATGTAAACGGTGCATTAAGCGTTGCACTGACACCTTCAATCTACCTATATTTTATACAACAAAAGCTGAGCTACTAGAGCTATACAAAAAAAAATTAAATAAATTTTACAAAAGGTGTATCTATAAGACCAAGAACTATAGACGCCGGACTCGCAGGCAATCGCAGCTGGAACTATTTCAAATATGGCACGTTTACTTTATGTTGACTTATTCTTCTTCTTCTTATTTGGCGCTATAACCCATACGCGAGCTTGGCACAATTCAACAAAGCACGCCAGTCGTTTCTCTTCTGTGCCAACTGACGCCAATTGGAAATGCCAAATCCTTCTCCTCCTGGTCTTTCCATCGCAGTGGGGGCCTCCCTCTTCCTCTGCTACTACCAGCGGGTTCAGAGCTGGAGCGTCGGTGTCCATTCGAGCGACATGGCCAAGCCAGTGGAGCCGCTGTATTTTAATTCGCTGCACCAACGTTTACATATATCGTCGGTGTTTTTGCAAAACCACCTATCTTACAGCACTCAAATTTTACAGGAGAGCAAGGCATTGCCTTGACAGGCGGTATTGTCTTTAGCTATTATTTTACAAATCTTTTAATTTAATAAAGATTTTACGATCTTTGTGCATAAATCTCGATGCGTGGCGGCTTAGGCGGTTAGTAAAAACATCAACGATGTGCATATAGAATACGGTCGGACGAACGCAAGACCGACGACCGGAATTAAACCCAATACAGCTGATTTTAAATTCGCGCTGAGCAATACAAGCAGCTCATTCAGAATTGGCAAGAGTCCTTCCGAGCCACTCCCGCCCTTTGAATTTCCTTAATCTGATTCCAAATTTTAAATTAATTAGTTTTCCACAAACTTGTTTAACATTGCAATACCGGGGTATTCTCTGTGTCACTGTGCGAAAATTAATTTTTAAAACCGGATTTCCGCTGCTACATCAAAGGCAAATAATAGACAAGTTTAGGAATAAATTGTATGAAAATTGACATAGCAGTGGCGTAAAATGACCTTACCAGCCGTATGCAAAAATAGAAATATCATTTTCGACACATTTCAATTATCAGCATTCTAGTAGCTATGCAGCACCAAGTTAACAAATAATAACTGTACATGTCTGCATGTATGCATACAAAATGCAAAATATAAAAGGGCAGATTTACCTGCATACCAGCCAGCCAGCAGCAAAGCTTTGTTTACCTATTTGTTGTTGCTTTATTGTGGTGCAGGAACACGCGCATCTACGGCCGCAATTAGCTCAACTATGCCACAATAAAATTCCAATATGCAACTAAAACTTTACAAAATTGTCGCTGCGGTTTTGTGTGCAAAACTTTTCAAACAACAACACGAAACAGGAAAATATTTAAAGACACGTGCAAATGTACATAAATATGTACATATTTATATATGAGAGACATGCTGGTAAGTGTGTGGTGTGTGAGCTAAACGCATACGCCTGTCGTACCGCCACAAAGCGTGCAACGCCGGTGCACAAACAAATGCTCTGGGTTAGTTACCGCTAAATGTCGCGCGCACACAGAGAATGCCACGAAACCATTAAAGTGGAATCCACACCGGAAAAATGCATACAACCGCACAACGACCACAATCGATAGCAACAGCCCTGCAGGTTACTGTTTGCTTACTTTATTATAGGGATATGTACATTTGTATGTATATAAGTATGGATATTGGCGCCCATCGATTGCGTTGCACATCTAGCAAATTGAGATACATAGTAGGTAAGTTGCATGTTGCAACATATGTATATATGTATATGCATAGCACAAGGTGCAACTTTCGCACAACAATGCAGCAAAAACTTTTAATAAGCTGCATAGACGCCGGTTGTGCAGCAGCACAGCAGTGGCATAACATAACGGTAAACAAGTTGCCGCATAGTGGCACTCAAATGACGCGTGTTGCAAGTGAATGCAGTGACACCATATGTTGCTTGCTTGTTGGTGAGCTTGGTGAGTGGATATTTACAGTTCAAAGTGTGTGTGTGTGTGTGTGTGTGTGTGTGTTTGTGCGGCAACCACAACAGCGTCAACGGTAAACATAAAAATTTAGTGAACGACGAAAACACCTGCCATTGCTCGGCACCTTTTAAATTTTACGAGTATAAACCCCCCCCATTGCCACAATTACTTAATCCCCGTTCCCCGTTTTTACTCACTCGCTAATTGCTTGCCCTCGCAATAGTTGGCGCGCCACGGATAATCACAGCCTTCCGTAACGCCACGATGCTTCCCGGCGAAGACCAGTCCATTGGGGCAATCGTAAAGCTCTGGCTGACTGCTAACACACTCCCAATAACGGTCGCAATAGACTTCATCGCCAGCCACACGTCCTTTCACCTTGCACGGATCCGCTTGGCTGCCCTTCAATTGTTGCCCAGTCACGCCATTCGCTGTAAGAAAAATACAAAACAAAACAAAAAATACAGTGAGAATGAGACAGGGAAGATGTTGTTCTATTTTTGCAATTTTTGTTTCAGGTGTAGACAATTTTTGGCTACACCGCTAAAAGCGCGGAGGGCACCAAGGCTTTTTTACGACACACACACGTACATGGGCACATACATACATATGTATGTTGATATTTTCGTGGTCTCATTTTATATTGTGTGACCTGCAGGCGCGCACGTTTTATGCCCTTTATACATGTGTAGTGTTTGTATTTACATACACGTGCAGATATGTGAAAATTGTTTGGTTTGATTTAGACTATTTTGAGTAGAAAAGTAACCGAAATTATCGTTGCTGGTTTAGAGAAATATGTCGATACACTCGAATTCTTGATCTATCCGCCTTAACTGCATTTGCTAATTGGGTCGAATTTTTACGAATTCTTACATACATACATGTCTGTGCCTGCCGGCAAAAATAGTGCAAGCAACTTTAGAAGGTATGACTTTAATATAAAACATATTAAGTTTCCTTAGTGAATAAAGATACGCGAAAAGAGAAGAGTGAACAATTTTGGGCGGAAATGAAACTCACGATAAAGCTGAAAATTTTGTTTAAGAACCCAATTAAATCTTGCTTTAAGAAAAAATGGCCTGTTTCAGATTTCTCCCCCAAATGACGCATTTGTGTTCAATGGAAATGTAATACATATTAGACTATAAAATAGTTCGAAAATTTCACCAACGAGCAAAGAAAATTATTCTCTTCAACACTATTTAGTGGTTTTCTAACTTGGCTTACTATGGTAAATATGGGCTTCTACTTTAACTTTTCACCATTACATTTATAAAAGAGGCAACCATTGAGACGAGAATACCAAAATAATTTTTTTCTGTGTCACCCAGGACCCGTTATCATTATGGGTAAAATAAATCAGAATTTAGTCGTTATTTTGTTATTTCTATTTCTCATTCAAAAATAATAAATGAGTTTAATTTTTTCCCTCAGATATGGTAATTACCAGGGAACGGATTTTTAGGACCTAAAAACCTATAAAAAAGGCAAAATAAAATAACGAAATACTCTGGAAAAGGCAAAATAAAATAGCGAAAAAGGCAGGAAAAGGCACTTGGTATTGCAAAAAAGGCAAAACAAAATAGCGAAAAAGGCAGGTATTGCCAAAAAAGCAAAATCAGGCACTAAAAAAAGACAGAAAATACGAAAAACAATCAAAAAATACATTTATTTTAGAAATGTTTATATTACAAGTAAAAAGAGAAAAACTATGAACTAGTTTCATTATATGAAAAATTTATACTTTGAATCTTTGACTCTTTTATCCTTTCGAGTTTCTAACTCAGAAAACTTTGATCTGTATAGTTGTAGTAACATTGAACCACAAGATACATTTTGAAGTTTTCTGGCAGCATTTTCATTCGATTTTCGCGAAGAAAAGCCTTGAATGTACTAAATGTGCGCTCGACGTAAGTTGATAAAAGTGGAGCCCAATTTAAATATGGAAGGTTTGAAACGTTCATATTATCAGGAATAAGGGCGTTTTCCTCGCCCTTTACAATTTTATCCACACCCCTTATTGTCTCCAAGCCTACGTTAGCTGAGAAAACGGCTTTGAATTTTTAAAACACCAATTTGGCAAGAGGTCCCTGCGCTTCTATAAGCCCCATGGGCATGTGTATATTTTTTAATCTTAAAAAAAAATATTTAAATGTTATAATCACTTTTCTAAAAGTAGGAATGGCAAAAAACGGCTAATATCTTAAAAAAGGCAAATATCTTAAAAAAGGCAACAAAGGCAACATCAAATGTGTATATATGGAATCAGGGAAAGCTAAATCGTGGACATTCTTAATCGAATATACTCTATCTCTTTAGCAGAAAAAAAGGCAATTTCCATAAAATCCGTTCCCTGGTAATTACACTGGCTCACAAATTGTGTTTGTTTTGCTCCACGGATGCCCCTATCCAATTCTGAGAAATTTATTAATCATTCCAGATTTTTTGTTTTTTTTTATGAAAAAAGTAGAAATTTCAAACTTTGATTGGGAAAAATTTGAAAAATGACAGGTTCAGTGTAAATTTTATCCATTGGTGTTATACATAGCCTGTTCTATTACAACAGAGAGCTACTTAAGTGTACATTGCGTATGAGTAACATTCTTTCTTGCTCATATTTCGAACAAGAAATCCTTGCACATTTTCATTTGACTACTCATTCCGTTTTTATTTATGCATCGGTTTTCTTCATTGGAGCTTGATTTTTTTTTTAAACAAAACAAGTTAACAAAAACGAAAAAAATTCACACAGATTCTGTCATTTTTTAAATAAGTCCCCTGAAAATGTTTGCATTTTTTCATTTTGTCATCGGAAAATAAATAGATAATCTGAAATGATATATTAATTTCTCAGAAACTATCGGGCTTATTGAAAAGAATTCTATATACAGTTTATGTAGAATTTTATTAGCTTTTACTTGCCATACTTCGTAGAAACAAAATCTAAATCGATTTTTGGAAATAGCGAGCGATTCTAGCTAGGAATTGGATAATGTCATTTACGGTACATTTTTGTTGTAAACCAGTGCTATGAGTGAGTTTTATTTTTCCATTTAAAAATAAAATTTGACTGAATTTTTAACCCGAAAATTTGGGGATTTATTTATTAGCGTGCCGCTAGCTCTGAAAAGGTTACGACGCAAATCACGCTTCTACAGTTTTTGAGTTTTTTTGAATAATTATTGTGCGTTATTGTACATATCTGCAATCATAAGCAACGGCCCATTTGCTCAATCATCGCGATCTTGGGTTTTCACAGGTAACTTCCTGCCCATCAGATCTCTTTAGTTACGAAACCAGAAACTCCGCATTTTTCGAACTATTGTACTTTCCCAAGAATGCCTACGGTTGGTGGAGGGTTCCAAAACTTTCTTCAATCACAAGAAACTTATGGAAATTAAATAAGACATCAAGGTCGGGGTATCAAATAATGGCAATTTAAATAGTTTCATTTTCAAATATTTTGTATGTACCATTGTTAAGCAGGGATCACACGATTTGTACATTTGTACACAAAATGCCAAATTTAGATTTGTCCACATTTGCGCATTTGGATAGCGATGTACAAATGATTTGTTTGGCGATCAGACGATTTGGCTGCCAAAGATCCAAATGATTTGGCACACATTTGCGCACAGCAGTAAAGTGACAAATATTGTCCACATTCATTCACACGATTTGACTATTTGGTCATAAATACATACTTAAACAGCTGATCCAGTGTCAACCATACTCTTGCATCTATGATTTTGTGAGATTTGAAGTGAAATAAACAAAAATAATATGTACGCACAGGTACTCAGAATTTGAATACACTCTCAAAATCTGGGCTGAAGGTAAAAAACGCGTTTTTCATAGGTTGAAGCATATACTTGCTCGTAACTTTATTTCTGTTTGCCCGATGAAAAATAATTACATATGCCATTTAAGAGAAAACATTTCGTTGTTTACAACCATTTATAAATGGTTAATTTGTCTTCAGAATGGGCACCGTATGTATGTATACTAGTTAACAAAATAGTCGGACAAGTCGTAATTTAAAATGAAAAATGTTAAAAATTTAAATTTTGCATATCGATGGCTGAGTGGAAGATCGACCTATCTCGGAAGCCAGTTCAAAAACGCCCTGTCTCTGAAAGTTTTTCAAGAACGCCCTACTTCAAAGTTTGATTGAAAAACGCCCTATTTCAGAATTTGGTTGAATAACGCCCTATCACAGAATTCATTTCAAAAACGCCCTATCTCAAACGAAAATACATTGAAAATAAGCCGATATAGGGCGTTTTTGAATTGGCAGCTGAGATAGGGCGTTTTTCAATGAAATCCTGAAGTAGGGCGTTCTTGAAAAGTTTTCTGAGATAGAGCGTTGTTAAAAAATTTTCTGAGATAGGGCGTTTTCGAACTGGTTGCCGAAATAGGTCGATCTTCCACTCAGCCATCGATATACTCTGTAAGATTCCTTTCAGTGATCGGACTTCTACCACAATGTTGTAGATCTGCCACTTTTTTGAGCACACCTACCACACAAGGTCTGAAATCTACCACATATTCGCGTTTTTGAGTAGTTTTATTTTTGCTCAACATAATTTTCTTAATTTTAAGAGCAAAAATTGTCCAACACTAAACACTAACAACAGGCAGAATGGGAGGATAAAATAAACTGTAAAATACTAAATTTTCTCAATATTCAATTTTTCGACATCAAACATGGTTTTATTGTGTTAAATTGCAAAATATATGATTTATAAAAGGAATTAATAGCGAAAATGATAAAAACCGACGATTTTTGTGAAAGCATTAGCAAATTTCAGTGCATCTCAAATTTCTAAAGCGTTGTTTACTTTTACTTGAGAATTGTCAAAATCGGCAAATCCCAAGTAGCATTTCTGGAACGAGCCACGTTTGTTCGCTACATCGTGATGTGATAAAAAAAAGCTGGAAGGAAACTGTCAAGGAAAAAAATTGCCAAAACCAACGCAATTTTTATCAATTTCAATCATGCACTTTATTATACTAAAATTAATTTTGTTTTAGATTCTGATTAAAATGTTTGCAATTTAGGAGAAACCTTGCAGATTTTTTTTAATTTTTGTACAAAGTTTGATCCAAAACCTGAGATCTACCACATTTTTTTGAAATCTATCAAATTTTTTTAGATTCTACCACACAAATTTTTTTTAAGTCCGATCACTGATTCCTTTGCCATTTCTTAAGATAAATCATCAATTTAAACATTGTTGTAAGCAGCGATATGTCTTATCTTGAATCACATACACATATACGTATTTTTCACCGGGTAAACAGAAATAAAGTTACGAGCAAGTATACCTGTGCGTCACCCTTTGAAAAACGCGGTTTTTGACCTTAAGCCCAGATTTTGAGGGTGTATTTAAAATTTTGAGTATGCAGATTTTACTGCTTAGATAGACCTACAACAAGTATGAACCTCGAAAAAAACTATAACATTTTTTTTTGTCACATAGTGTAATTTAGATCGTCTTTAATAATCTGTATATCGTCGTTTAAAGTACAAAACCGCGTATTAACACAATGCAAAGCCGCCTATGTGAGGTTGCATAAATTATTATCTAGATAGTAAAAACGCTCATATTTCAAAATGGTTATCTTTTTTATAAAGCAATCGCATGTATATTTCAGGACGAATGGATAAGGATTGAGCCAACAGCTTCTGTAAGCAAATTCAATTTTTGGCAGCAAATGTCAGTTACGCGATTTTGCAGAATGACGGTACGCGGTTTTGTACTTTATACGACGATATGCATGTATGTATATGTGTATAGCCAGCATAAACTTCGGAAAGAGATCCGAAAACTGAAAGAAAGGTGAATAGTAAAGTGCCACGAAGGGTTGTGAAACGAATACTTTTCCGACTGGTTTTCTGAAATTTTTAATTCTGAACTTCAAATATGCTTTTTCAAAGTTAATTATACTCAGAAATTAATTATACTTTTAATATGTTCGTCTGCCGGCATAAGAACCTGGGACCTCATGGAAGCTTACAAATAGTCGCACGCTTCTCTGCACACTCAGCTACTGTCGAATACGTATATGTACACGTTTTCAAATGTTCAGTTTGAGCAAATATTTTAAAATTGTTGTTTTCAAATAACGTGATATTTTTCGGTAGTTTTCGGATACGAATATTATATTAAATATTAAAATTTTACCAAAATTGGAAAATACAAGGGTTCACAAGCACGAAATGGCAATACCGCTCAACAATACTTGTATATTTGTCACTGGCATTTGTCATCAAGTGGCAAATCAGATATTTGGTCATTTGCGTAATTTTTATTTGGCTTATGTAGCAGCATTGCGTTCACACGATTTGGCCACCAGAGTTGTTTTTCATTTGCCACAAGAAGGCAAATATTTGGCTTTTCTCATAAACGACAAATGTAATTTAGCGTTCACATGATTTGTCTATGAATTTGACAAATTTTTAGCCAAATGTACAAATCGTGTGATCCCAGCTTTAGTCGAATTTATTGTTTAGCATAACGATAATAATGCAAATTAAGTCAACGAGACAACGAACTTTTTTTGCATAGAAAAAAATGTTCCCCCTAAATGGACAGCTCATCCCTATGATAACTAATCTGGAAGTAAAAATGATTACGCTTTCTTCTGGCTTAGACTTAATAATCATAATTCTCATTGAAACGATTTTTCATCCCAACACGCAGAGGCTCATTCTTAACGTTAACACTTTTATTCTCATTTTGTTCTCTAATAGAACGTTCCCAAGACTTTTTTTCTTATTTAATCCTCCTTAAAAACGTTATCGATACTGCGTTCTCAATTTGTCCTCATTGAAAACGTTCCAGAAGGTTTCTCTCTCATTCCGGTTTTTCTCGAGAACGTTCCCGAGAGTTTTGTTCGCATTTTGTTCTCTACGGAAACGTTCTCGAACCTTTTGTTCTCATTTTGTTCACGTTCAAATTGCAATTATTTCTTTCTTTTGTTTCCGTTTGGTTCTTTTGTGGGAACGTTTTTGACATTATATTTTGTTCTCATGCAGAACTAAACCAAATTACATAAAATAAGGTTCTTTATTTAGAAGATCCGAATGTTATACATACATACGCAAATAGTGAATCATTTTTTTTAAAGTGGGCAGAGACATAGAAATTGCTCATCGAACTGTTCAACATCCCATCTCATCAGGTAGTACATGTGATAGCAAATTTTAATTTTCCTATTACCAACTGATAGAGCATTAACGCCGTATGCTACATATCGGTCATAAAATGTTAGATTACACTGTCCCAACGACACACATTTTCGCACGCCTCCCTTAATGGCTTACAATTTCCACATTAAAATAATTACTTGTGCCTCACCTGCACAGTATTTGAGTATACATACAGTAGGTACATACATATGAGTGTGGGTAAGCAAACGAGAGAATTAATATAGCAAAGTGGCACCTACATACATACATACATACATACATATGTATGCACATCATCATATCAAATCTGTGGACTTTTGACAAAACAACTTGTCTCGAGAGAGGTCATTTTCACTTCAAAGCTGTAATTCATTGAGTTGTCGAATGATAATTTTTTCTTTAGACAC